TGACCTTTGTCCCCACAAGTCCACCATAGCACTGACCTTTGTCCCCACAAGTCAAATAGCACTGACCTTTGTCCCCACAAGTCCACCATAGCACTGACCTTTGTCCCCACTAGTCCACCACATCACTGACCTTTGTCCCCACAAGTAAAACACTGACCTTTGTCCCCACTAGTCCACCATAGCACTGACCTTTGTCCCCACTAGTCCACCACATCACTGACCTTTGTCCCCACAAGTAAAACACTGACCTTTGTCCCCACTAGTCCACCATAGCACTGACCTTTGTCCACACAAGTCCACCATAACACTGACATTTGTCCCCACAAGTCAAATAGCACTGACCTTTGTCCCCACTAGTCCACCAATTCACTGACCTTTGTCCCCACAAGTAAAACACTGACCTTTGTCCCCACAAGTCCACCATAGCACTGACCTTTGTCCCCACTAGTCCACCACATCACTGACCTTTGTCCCCACAAGTAAAACACTGACCTTTGTCCCCACAAGTCCACCATAACACTGACCTTTGTCCACACAAGTCCACCATAGCACTAACCTTTGTCCCCACAAGTCAAATAGCACTGACCTTTGTCCCCACTAGTAAAACACTGACCTTTGTCCCCACTAGTCCACCATAACACTGACCTTTGTCCCCACTAGTCCACCATAGCACTGACCTTTGTCCCCACAAGTAAAACACTGACCTTTGTCCCCACTAGTCCACCACATCACTGACCTTTGTCCCCACAAGTAAAACACTGACCTTTGTCCCCACTAGTCCACCATAGCACTGACCTTTGTCCACACAAGTCCACCATAGCACTGACCTTTGTCCCCACAAGTCAAATAGCACTGACCTTTGTCCCCACAAGTCCACCATAACACTGACCTTTGTCCCCACTAGTCCACCATAGCACTGACCTTTGTCCCCACTAGTCCACCATAGCACTGACCTTTGTCCCCACAAGTCCACCATAGCACTGACTTTTGTCCCCACAAGTCCACCATAGCACTGACCTTTGTCCCCACAAGTCCACCATAGCACTGACCTTTGTCCACACAAGTCCACCATAGCACTGACCTTTGTCCCCACAAGTCAAATAGCACTGACCTTTGTCCCCACAAGTCCACCATAACACTGACCTTTGTCCCCACTAGTCCACCATAGCACTGACCTTTGTCCCCACTAGTCCACCATAGCACTGACCTTTGTCCCCACAAGTCCACCATAGCACTGACCTTTGTCCCCACAAGTCCACCATAGCACCGACCTTTGTCCCCACAAGTCCACCATAGCACTGACCTTTGTCCCCACTAGTCCACCATAGCACTGACCTTTGTCCCCACTAGTCCACCATAGCACTGACCTTTGTCCCCACAAGTCCACCATAGCACTGACCTTTGTCCCCACAAGTCCACCATAGCACTGACCTTTGTCCCCACAAGTCCACCATAGCACTGACCTTTGTCCCCACTAGTCCACCATAGCACTGACCTTTGTCCCCACTAGTCCACCATAGCACTGACCTTTGTCCCCACAAGTCCACCATAGCACTGACCTTTGTCCCCACTAGTCCACCAAAGCACTGACCTTTGTCCCCACTAGTCCACCATAGCACTGACCTTTGTCCCCACTAGTCCACCATAGCACTGACCTTTGTCCCCACAAGTCCACCATAGCACTGACCTTTGTCCCCACAAGTCCACCATAGCACTGACCTTTGTCCCCACTAGTCCACCATAGCACTGACCTTTGTCCCCACTAGTCCACCATAGCACTGACCTTTGTCCCCACAAGTCCACCATAGCACTGACCTTTGTCCCCACAAGTCCACCATAGCACTGACCTTTGTCCCCACTAGTCCACCATAGCACTGACCTTTGTCCCCACTAGTCCACCATAGCACTGACCTTTGTCCCCACTAGTCCACCACATCACTGACCTTTGTCCCCACAAGTAAAACACTGACCTTTGTCCCCACTAGTCCACCATAGCACTGACCTTTGTCCACACAAGTCCACCATAGCACTGACCTGTGTCCCCACAAGTCAAATAGCACTGACCTTTGTCCCCACAAGTCCACCATAACACTGACCTTTGTCCCCACTAGTCCACCATAGCACTGACCTTTGTCCCCACTAGTCCACCATAGCACTGACCTTTGTCCCCACAAGTCCACCATAGCACTGACCTTTGTCCCCACAAGTCCACCATAGCACTGACCTTTGTCCCCACTAGTCCACCACATCACTGACCTTTGTCCCCACAAGTAAAACACTGACCTTTGTCCCCACTAGTCCACCATAGCACTGACCTTTGTCCCCACTAGTCCACCACATCACTGACCTTTGTCCCCACAAGTAAAACACTGACCTTTGTCCCCACTAGTCCACCATAGCACTGACCTTTGTCCACACAAGTCCACCATAGCACTGACCTTTGTCCCCACAAGTCAAATAGCACTGACCTTTGTCCCCACAAGTCCACCATAACACTGACCTTTGTCCCCACTAGTCCACCATAACACTGACCTTTGTCCCCACAAGTAAAACACTGACCTTTGTCCCCACAAGTAAAACACTGACCTTTGTCCCCACTAGTCCACCATAACACTAACCTTTGTCCCCACAAGTAAAACACTGACCTTTGTCCCCACAAGTAAAACACTGACCTTTGTCCCCACTAGTCCACCATAGCACAGACCTTTGTCCCCACTAGTCCACCATAACACTGACCTTTGTCCCCACAAGTAAAACACTGACCTTTGTCCCCACAAGTAAAACACTGACCTTTGTCCCCACTAGTCCACCATAACACTAACCTTTGTCCCCACAAGTAAAACACTGACCTTTGTCCCCACAAGTAAAACACTGACCTTTGTCCCCACAAGTCCACCTTAGCACTGACCTTTGTCCCCTCAAGTCCACCATCGCACTCAGAGGCGTAGCGACCCTTCCCGGCGCCCGGGGACAAACTTTCGATTTGCAACCCCTCTCAAACTTTCATTTTGGCGCCCCACCCCCTTGGGTCGGCGCCCGGGGACATATGTCCACCCCCCTCGCTACGCCTCTGATCGCACTGACCATAACTGACACGTATTTGTGATAGGTCTATGTTATAAATGAAGGAATCAACCTAAGCGGGCACTGTGTAGTCCAGCTGTAGGGCTTAACACACCATGTGTGTTTCACATGGTGTGTTGACACGTGATGTGCTTCACATGGTGTGTTGACACGTGATGTGCTTCACGTGGTGTGTTGACACGTGATGTGTGTACCACGAGGTGTGTTGACACGTGATGTGTGTTTGGTGTGTTGACACGTGATGTGTGTACCACGTGGTGTGTTAACATGTGATGTGTGTTTCACATGGTGTGTCGACACGTGATGTGTGTACCACGTTGTGTGTTGACACGTGATGTGTGACAGTTATGTGAAGCAATAACAAACCTAACTGTCAGCGTTCTTCAGGTATAAACGTCAGTTGTGTGGGATCACGGCAATATGACCGAGATTACACGCCAGTTTCAGGGACGCCAAAATGACATTTGTCTCACGTTTAGCTACCGCATATATATATATATATATATATATATATATATATATATATATATATATATATATATATATATATATATATATATATAGTATATATATATATATGTATATATATATATATATATATATATATATATATATATATATATATATATATATATATATATATATATATATATGAATGTATATGCCACTACTGTTTACCCTGTCTCAAACCACCTGCATGTCGCCCGCCGACAACCCAAAGCTGAGGTTGCTGTTGTGACCGAGACAACCCCACGCAACCCCACACAACCCCACACAACCCCAAGCAACCCCACACAACCCCACACGAGTATCCATTCATGAAGCTGTCACCCCGTGTTTCACAACGGCCAGCTGATACAGGTCCACTACGTCAGACCGGCTGACATCCATCAACACATCCATCTCTCCAGACAGTCAACAGGGGGCGTCACTCCCCGACAGAGGCGCCACCCCCGCCCCAACAATCCTACCTGGCCATCACCCCTAGTGCAGTAGCAGCGTCGAAGAGAAATTGTAACCGATCCTTCCCCAACTTGTAGCTGGCTGATATACATCTGCCCTTAAATAAGTCGTTTTAAATGGCTTGCTTGTGTCACCTGGTGTGGTGGGCTTAATAAGGAGGGGGCTTTCCTTGCCGGGCGCTCCATGCTAAGGCAGATATTATCTTTTCCCACGATATATCCTGTGATATACACACACACAGACATATATATATATATATATATATATATATATATATATATATATATATATATATATATATATATATATATATATATATATATATGTATATATATATATATATATATGTATATATATATATATATATATATATATATATATATATATATATATATATATATATATATATATATATATATATATATATATATATATATATATATATATATATATATATCGGAAGTAATGACGGGTAGATCTTATACTGACCCCACTGTCTTTTCATGCTTAGATCAGCGAAGTAGACATACTTGACTTTTTCAGCCCGTGGCGCGTCTTAAAGGGTGGTTTACTTTAGATATTTTTTATCTAGTTAAATCCACACTAAGCTTTCGATAACACTTGTCGTCTATCTAAAACCCAACCCTAAACCCTAGGGTTGTGGATCTAAAACCCAACCCCAAACCCTAAGGTCGTGGATCTAAAACCCAACCCCAAACCCTAGGGTTGTGGATCTAAAACCCAACCCCAAACCCTAGGGTCATGGATCTAAAACCCAACCCCAAACCCTAGGGTCATGGATCTAAAACCCAACCCCAAACCCTAGGTTCATGGATCTAAACCCAACCCCTAACCTTGGGTTAATTGTCTTGTCTTAACCCCACCCCGTCCTACAGAATATACAGCTATTTGAACTACTCACGAGATTTGCCCCCCCCCCCCCCCCCCCACAGCCGAGGCAGCCATGGGCAGTCTGCAGGAGATGGAGCGTCTGCTCCGCGCCAAGGAGGACAAGATCAAAGACCTGCAGCAGCTTCTGGAGGAGCGAGACGAGAAGATCATGCAGCTCCGCAGCAAGCTGGACAAGTTCCAGTCCATCCTCCCACAGACACAGAACAACTTCATCGGCGGACCCAGGAAACAGAGGGCACAGGGAATCTCGGCCGAGCCGCAGGCCATGAGGAATTTTGATATCAGCAACTGTGTGTTGAGGAGGTACTCCAAGTCTACCAGGTGAGTAGTTACATCGTATGTAGTGGTTGTACACGTGGCATTGGTACTATGTTCATGTGTCATTTGTTTGTGTATGTCCATGTGACGTATGTTTGTGTATGTTCATCTGACATTTGTCACTGTGTCCATGTGCCATTTATTTGTGTATGTCCATGTGTAGGTTGTTTGTGTATGTTCATGTGACGTTTGTCACTGTGTCCATGTGTCATTTATTTGTGTATGTCCATGTGTAGTTTGTTTGTGTATGTTCATGTGACTTTTGTTACTGTGTCCATGTGTCATTTCTCAGTATTTTTTCATGTGACATTATACTAGTGCTTATTCCTGTTATATGATTAGCTTTGACGCTTATACCTCAATCTTTCTACACGATCCCCTCTCTCACCCCCCACCCCTTCTCTCACCCCCCAAACCACTCTCCCTTACTGTAGTAAGTTCCCTCTATTGAAACCTGTCCCACACCTAGCTAATGCCAGTATCAACATTCAACAAATCATCCTTGAAAACAAATCCACTTTTTAGATAGTTCATCGTATCCGACTTATAAACCTGTGTACACAAAATAAAAAAAACATGAATATTTATGAGATCATGCAATCGAGTTCAATCCTCTGTGCGCTAACTCCTATTACGTCATGACTGGAGTGATGGCCCTTTTTGAACTCCAGGAAATCCGACCAGACACGTGACCACGTGCGTCATGCGTCACGGGAAATGCGTCTTGGAGGTTCCAAATATTCGGCATTGTAACCTGGCTATAATGTAAAAAGTTAAAATATTTGGTATTGTAGCCTTGCTATAATGTAAAAAGTTAAAATATTTGGCATTGTAACCTTGCTATAATGTAAAAAGTTAAAATATTTGGCATTGTAGCCTGGCTATAATGTAAAAAATTAAGATACACTTAAAAAATTATTCAAACTTTGTTGAAAGCTCGTCTGAACATCGTGCTCCCATTGTAAAATATGTTTGAACTCGGGATTCGTGGCTTAAAACCCCAACCCTTTAAACTGGGGATTGTAGATATAAAAGCCGACCCCCTAACCCTAGGGTCGTTCTCTTAACCACCAACCCACTAACCCTCCATAACCTTCTTAAAATCTAGTAAAAACTTGAAACCAACATTACAGGTATCGCGACTTTGTAACTAGTAGGGAACTATGGAGTTGAATTCAACAGTGTGTAGGGGTGGGTCGTGTGAGATGAGGGGGGGGGGGTGGGCTGCCTAAAGTGCGTGCAACAGGCTGGTATGTTGGAGGGGGAGACACGGCCAGTGAAAACAGACGTGAAATCATTCAACTCTTCACTCGGTGACACGGAAAAAACCTTTGAACTAGAAAACCGACTAAGTGACCTGGTTACGGTTGGATGAACACAGCCTCTTATACCGTGGTTAATCCCGTGATGACAAGACTGATGTGCTGAACACACTACACACTCACACACGAAGACAAGATTAACGTATGCAGGATAGTCTATTGTACAGATTCAAGTTGATGTGAGAGTGCGTTGCCACCTAAGGGAATATGTGTGTTGACATGGTGGGGGAGGGTGGGGGAGGGAGAGATGAGACTATATGTGTAACCCTGTCCCACAACTATATGAATAAAAAGTTTGAACAAGATAAATTACGACACGAAGCTGGCCTTAGATTTTCTTTGATCATCAAGCCTTGGTGTCTTCTGAATATTTACAGCCCACATTATTCGAATATATTGGCTTGATATATTTACGTCCTATATATGTTTTATACTCTTGATATGTTCTCACATTCTTGGTCTGTTAGCTTGATAGGTCTTATAACTTATAAGTCAAAGTATTGAAAATCCTTTAAAGCAATACTAAACCATAGGCAATATGTTTTACCGTTTTGTTCGTGAACATAATAATTTTCAAATTAATTTTTAAAAGACGGATTTTGGTATGCTTAAATTTAAAATGCACTAATCTGTAAAGTTAGAAAAAAAAACTCAATTAGAAATGTGTTAAAATGGAGCTTCAAAATTTGACAAAATTCAGACAACCGGACACAGCAAAAATAAAATAAACTGAAAAAACCTGGAAAAAAAAGCTTGTACGGCGAAACTAGATGTGGCATTAAATTAAAAGTTAAAAACTTTGTGAAACGTTGGTATTATTTCTTGTTCCACTTCACCTGCCGCCTGCTTCTCAGAACTGTAGCGCACCTAACGCGTCAGTCCTGGGTTGAGAAAACTTCATTCAAATCTAACAAGGCTTGTATGCTCAGTCGAGTGACGTTGAAGTAATTAATTATTTGGCTTTAGGAAGTAAAAACTGACCTGGCCCAGCATGTTTTATCTATTCTTTACCAGGACACAGCAGTTTAAAAATAGATTTTTGGGAAACCCAAATAGTGTGGGCTAATTCCTACTCACATGTTTGACTTACGTACTTATGTGGTCCAATATTTATTCGTCTGGTCCAATATTTAGTCGTCTGATACTATATTTTGTCGTCTGATCCAATATTTAGTCGTCTGGTCCAATATTTAGTCGTAAGGTCCAACTTTTAATCTGTTTCTATTTTATTAATGTTTAAACATTTGCACTGCATTTTAGTGGGTCTCTATTTGTGCTTTACAATGACTCCCGAGTAATCGTTAAAAGGCGGTGGGGTAGTTGTGTAGGATTTATGAGGCTATGCGGTGGCTTTGTTGATACTATTATACAGTTGAACTTGAAGTCATTTATAGAAAACAAATTAGAAATAACCAAACTATTTTCTCAAATCTCCACTATATTTACATTATCTTAACAAGTTCTACCTATCACTATTATCACAACTATTTAGTACACACCCAACACTATGAACACAACTGTTTTATTCAGGGTTATCACACTTAGCAACTTCAGAGAGTCACGTAATGTTATCAGCCGTCAACCATTGGTCGCTGGTCATCACGCAACCGTTACAATAGACAAGGGGAGGCCACTGTAGCGATTATCTTTTGCCGCATTACCACCGGCTTAATGGCTGTCATTTGACGTAACGCCTCTATCATTTTGGCTGGTGTAAACACACTGAACGATCAAACGTTGACGGCTTTGATTGTCTATAACGGATTACAACTTTACACTCTGGCTGTCCAACTTCTTTAAAAACAACACGTTGCATCATTTGATAAATTGAATCAGTTGCAGTGGGGCGCATAGTAAGTGTGTAGGGGGGGGGAGGCATAAATATAAAAAGTGCCCAGGGGTGCCCACGTGTATCACACACACACATACACACTTATATACATATTTTTATATGATTAAGGACCCATGCAAGCATAAAAACGGGAAGGGCGATACTGCCTTTATGGTTTTTCAGAAAATAAATGAGAACAAAATTAATTACCTAATTAGACGCCATCCAACCCTTCTCATCTTTGCGTGACCCAATTAACGGACGATCTCAATGACAGCTGACAGCCACGGTCCAATCAGCGGCCGTGAAATATTGGACACGTGCACTGACCTCACGCGACGGAGACACCCCAGTTTTGGGCAGATGGGATAAAAATAGAAGGGATGTCACGTGAAGAGATCCCACAGAGTTATCGTCCCTGTAATTATCTTACCTACGTGACCTTGGCTTTCGCTTTGTATAGCCAGTCTTAATATATGTATTTTATCGTCTACTCCCCCCCCCCCCCAGCCAACGACATATGACATATCTAATGTTATTGTCAATGTGTTCTATCATGCCCCCCCCCCCCCCTCTGACAGCTAGCGACATATTTAATGCTATTGTTAATGTGTTTTACCTTCTAACCCCCCTTCCCCCCCAGCCAACGACATATGACATTTAATGTTATTGTCAATGTGTTTTATCACCCCCCCCTCCCCCCCCCAGCCAACGACATATGATATATCTTATGTTATTGTCAATCACACATAAAGCCTAATAAAAAATGCCTCAGCACTGGCTGAACTTTAACCTATCAGATCGACCGGCCTTGTGATTTATGTTGAGCTGTCAATTTAAATCCACGCGATTTTAAAAGTCAATTGTCCCGATCTCTCTGTTAACATCAGCTTTAAAGCTGTCATCAATTTTATATCCTGCTTATGAAACAGATAGTCTTGGCTTTAGATAAATATTAATCCGTTGAATGGTTTTAGATAAACGTTAATCCGTTGAACGATCCGCTTTATAAAACTTTTTTCTAAAATTTTTTCTAAGATTTGTAACTTTTGTTGTGAACATCAACTTTGATAACTTTGTAACTTCTGTTGTGAAGGTCAATTTTTAAACCGTGTAAATTCTGTTGTATTAATTAACTTTGTTAACTTTGCAACTATTTTTGTGTAATGATCAATTTTATTAACATTGAAGGCCTAACTTCTGTTGTGAAGATCAACTTTGTTAAAACCTTGTAACTTCTGTTGTGATGTGATCATAAAAGAAACCTAAAGCCGCTCTCGATGTTTTGTCCCCTGTGAAAAGTGTGGAGATGTTAGGACAATTGTCCTAGCTCTGTCCTAGAATTCGTAGGACCAACATTGTACCAGTTGTCAGAAAATATTTCAGCCAATCTTTATCTATTTGTCTGTTTGAATTTGTATTTTTTTTTCAGAGTTCTGTTACTTACTGATTAGATTAAAACAAATTCTTCTCATTCCAAAGTAAATAAGAACGAAATAATAATTGTAGGAAGTTTAAAAACAAAAATACTATTTTCACTGCCACATCGTTTTCCGAAAGCTAAAATTCCTTTTCTTCATTTCCGCTTCCCGGGAAAATCGACAGACGTACTACACAATAACATGCATAGACGTACTATAGGAGGACGTACACAGACGTACTATAGGAGGACGTACACAGACGTACTATAGGAGGACATACACAGACGTACTATAGGAGGACATACACAGACGTACTATAGGAGCACATACACATACTACTGTACTTCCCGTAGAAACCACAAGTCAGAGACAGGACCATTTGGCAGAGACCAGACCGCACTAGGGACCTTAGACCCCAGCACGTAGGCC